TGCCAGGTGTAAGGTCTGATTGTGCTGTTTACTCAGCAGTCACGATGCATATCAATTTAAACACATTTTTGTGATTGCTGGCATGCGGGGGTTCAATCCATGTTTGACTTTAATGGAAAAAGACAATTAGAGCAATGTGAAAAAAGGAAAAGGCTAGATGTGGTCTATCAAAAATGACAGTATTTGCCCCTTCCTTGGCACACTGTGCTGGCCGTTAAGTATTGCTGGGACAGTTTCTTACAGGATGTTTTTTGTTCACTAACCCAGCAGATTCTCGCAGAATCAAATGAAGGAAACAAAAACATTCTGACGAGATGTCTGATTTCTATAAGTGCAAAGTAAATATCCTGAAGTGATTCACTTAACAAAGTAGGAAAAGTTAAATAAATAGCTGTCGCTATAGTATTTCTGCCTGTGAAACATACCTAATGTATGTACATGGGGTCAGCATTCTTTACCTTGACAGATCTATATAAGTTATGGTTGTAGTTCACAGCTTTGCCACGCTGGTCTGTATAGGTCTTGTAACTCCCAGGTTACCCTATCTCCCAACTACAGCCTTACAGGCTGAGGGACTGTCTACACTGCAGTCAGGAGGTGTGATTACAGCACACATAGACATACCTGAGCTTGCTTTAATCTAACTAGCTCAACGCTAGCTTGAATAATAATAGTAGTGAAGCCACAGCAGCAAGGACAGCAGGCACTTCAGTATGCACTCAGGGCTAGTCCGTGCCGCTGCCATGGCTTCACTGCTATTGTATCACACCTCCCAAGTCCCAACTGCAGTGTAGACAGTCCCTCAGCCTGTAAGGCTGTAGTAGGCCAATAGGGCAACCTGGGAGTTATAAGACCTATACAGACCTGCGTGGCAAAGCTGTGAACTACAACCATAACTTGCAAATTTAGAATGTATAGATCTGTCAAGGTAAAGAATGCTGACCCCATGTACATACATTATGTATATTTCACAGGCAGAAATACTATAGCGACAGCTATTTATTTAACTTTTCCTACTTTGTTAAGTGAATCACTTCAGGATATTTACTTTGCACTTGTAGAAATCAGACATCTCGTCAGAATGTTTTTGTTTCCTTCATTTGATTCTGCGAGAATCTGCTGGGTTAGTGAACAAAAAACATCCTGTAAGAAACTGTCCCAGCAATACTTAACGGCCAGCACAGTGTGCCAAGGAAGGGGCAAATACTGTCATTTTTGATAGACCACATCTAGCCTTTTCCTTTTTTCACATTGCTCTAATTGTCTTTTTCCATTAAAGTCAAACATGGATTGAACCCCCGCATGCCAGCAATCACAAAAATGTGTTTAAATTGATATGCATCGTGACTGCTGAGTAAACAGCACAATCAGACCTTACACCTGGCATTGGCCATCTATAGAAATTGCAAAATGTATATAGCTGGGGGACTAATTCTCACTCACATCAGTTAAAGACACTAGTCAGCAGCTCACAGAACTGGTTCCTATGTGAGAATGCAGATTGGCCCAGAATATTTCATAGAATCATTCCCCATGTTATTGTCTTGTAGTGAGTGAGGCTGAGCAGTTCTACATTTGGATACATATTGTTTGACTGTTGATTCATTGATCCTTTATGTCTCTTTGTTATGGCATTAACCAGTATTGCGGGGGCGGGGAGCTGGATAAATGTAGATATATAATCTATACATCAAACTATCAGTATATAATTGCTATTTATAGATATCAATATGTTCTGTGGCTAACTACAAATAATAAACACACTAACAGTAAATACTGTAGTGACAATTTTCATGAAACCTTGTTTAGCACACTTTCGTGATACACATTCCATTTTCCTTTCCATGTTTTCCTCTCGATGTTTTCTGGAGAAACAGTCTTTTTCTCAGCCAAGATCTGCAGATTTTCTTTCCCTCACTGTACTCTAAATTTTCAAAGTGACTGGTGCTTTTGGGAGCCCAGCTTGAAGCAACTTAAAGGGTCCTGATTTGCAGACGCTGGGTATTTAGCATTTTATGGAACTCCGGCTCCTTTAAGGTTTCTCGGGTTGAGCCCTAAAAGAGTGAGGTGCCCATTCTGTTCCAGTGTAAAAATTGTCAACTACTAGCATGGCTGGCCCAATAAGACAGTTCTTCTAAATCTAGTTTAGTCCATTTTCCACCTCCTGGTCTTGATCCAATTCCAGTTGAAAGTCTTTTTCATTGACATCAGCTCAAGCTCCAATTGCCCATCTTCTTTCTTTGGAGCTAGGGATACCAGAGCCTCTTCAGCAACATCTGTGACATATGCATGCAGAAAGAGATCCAACAGCTATAGTTGCATACTCGAGGAATGGGCAAGATTCCCCAAAATTCACTGGTGGTGGCTGCTACTGCTGCTTCAGCTACAACTACAACTGGCAGGCAAGCAACCATCTGGCCTTCAATCCAAATACTGAATGATCCTTTTGGCTATCTAGTATAGCTAAAGTCATGTTTCAATGAAAACTTATCTAGAAGCTGATTCCGTGGAGAGAAAAGAGAGGCAGCAGAACCATCTGTGTTTTGTTTTATTTCTTTAAAAAAAAAACTTTTTTTGAGAGAGAGTGGGAAAAGAGGCTTCTTTACTTTATTACCTGATCAGTCATTTGAGTTTTAATCGTTTTTCACAAATCCGATTGATATGAATATTGCTCCTAGTGTTGCTGCCTTGCAGTTATACACAAACTTTACTTGAGGGGCTTTAAATGCTTTATGAACAGTACACATGTGACGTAGGAATTATTACACCCATTTTACAGAAGGATAGACAGAAGCACACAGATTTAGTGACTTTCCTACTGCCTCGTGACACTGGCCAATTTTTGGAATAGAACTCAGAATCTTGCAGGGAGGAAGGCCTCTCCTTTAGCAACTAACCCAACATGGCTTCCCCTATGACCATTTCTAGTAGCTGCCATCTCACTGTCCATGTGATACCATTCTAAGAACATGTAAATGATGGATAACATAAGAGGTTTATATTGTTACTATCCACTGCACATTTTAGTTCACACGGTAATTTCCCCTCATGCCTCATGGCTATTTTTCCTTATAGTCTTTTACAAGGAACTTTATTAAAAGCTTTTAAGCAATAGAATTTTCACAGTTATTTTCCTTCACTGCCATCTATGCTTATTTGTCTAACCTCCTCTCTGTATGTTATCCTCAGGTAACCCACTAAGCATTGCCTGCAAAGCATTCTTTGGATTCAGTGGAGAATCGGGCCCCATGATCTACTGGATGAGAGGGGAAAAATTCATTGAAGAACTAGAAGGTCACATTAGAGAAGGGGAAATCAGGTACTGTTTGGAGTATTTATTTTACTGCTAAGAAAATGGTATGGCCCAACAGAGAATGTTTTTAACAGCTTTTTAATTTGAACTGAAAATGATTTTCTTGTCTAAAAAGAGATGGATGGCTGCGAACCAGTGCAACATTAGCTCATTGCTTCTGAATATACTCTAAAGACAGTGTGGCTATCCATGTGTTCTGAGGATATGTCACCAATTTCCCTAGGCTACCGCTGACATGCTTCTGAATGTCCTGGGGGTTGTTTTTGGCCTTTAACTATAATGATATTGTCCACTACATTTGCCCCAAGTGGCTGCTCTTGGGAAATTAATGTTATTTTCAGTATCGATATTAATCCTAAAGATGGATGGCCACCTGCCAGAGATTTCCACACTGTTTCTCTTCTATTTGCCCAACCAGCATAGAGAATGTACAGTGCACATAACTTAACCAGTGCCTTCTCTAAGCGTTTATGTGTTCCTTTCTGCAGAGAAACAAGTAATCGTGAGGTTTTTGTTTACCCATCTTGTGCCTTTTTTGTTTCATCAGACATTCAGATTGCTGACCACTGCTTGTTGTAAAAGTTTTAAAGAAAAGAATCCTTCATAATATGTGTCTCCGTTAATTTGTATGAGTCCAAATGAATCTCGTAGTTCATGAAGTTTGTACATAATTATATTCCCTTGTCATCCCTCGTTAATGTTTCCCTGACTAAAAACTTCTTGAGTAGGACCCACATCTTCATCTATGTTTGCCCAACTCATGGTGGTGTTCCCAATTCTCCTTGACAAATGATGAATATAAGTATTAAAAGAACCCAGGTTCACATCTTCCATCTCTCACCTGTTTAAGACCCATCTTTAACAGCAAATTATCAAAGAAATCCAAAAGAACGGACCCAAAATTGCCCTTTAGTCACATGTAAGATTCCTCACAAAAGGTAAGAAGGGTTTTTGTTGCACAGTTGCCGTGCTGTTTAATGACCACCAATATAAAATTCCAACAAACTGCTGCCTGCATTAATGAACATTTTAAAAACTCTTCATATGGAAGTTCCTTTATAACAACAGAATGATTTTGTCACTCCCCCGGAACATCTCTTGATTCCAAACTCAGTCCCCTGTTCTGTCCCAAATTACATGCATGCCTCCTCCACTGACTTCTTTGAGAACTGGATGGGCACAGAATTTAACCCGGAAGTTGCAATATCTTTCAGTAGAAGTACATTGGGCTAGGTTCCCAGCTGCAGCAGATCTCTGCTCAGTGCCACAGGGGAAGGTGGAGTCAAAGTTGGCTGCCACGCATCCGTCTACACTTGCCAGAGATTGCTGGAGCCCAGCATGATCTGACCATGCGCCCTCCTGCAGCCCAGCATGCACTCCACTCCGGAGGGCATTAAACTAGCAGTGAGCCCTTATCACAGATTACAATTGGTTTCTTTATCTGTTGGCTTCTCAACTTCTATGATTGAATCACAGGTTAAGTTGCATTTGTGTTCCGTTGCCCCATCTAATTGTTCCTCTTAACTAATTTCACATTTCCCCCCAATTAAAATCCCGGATCGGCGGGTAGAAATCAATCTCTCGGGGATCGATTTATTGCGTCTCATCTAGACGGATAAATCGATCCCCGAATCGACTTGCTAACTCCCACCTCGTCAGGAGGAGTAAGCGCCGTCGACAGGGGAGCCGCAACGGTCGATTTGCCCCCGTCCTCACAGCGGGGTAAGTCGAATAGGATACGCCGAATTCACCTACACTATTCGCGTAGCTGAATTTGCGTATCTTAAATCGACACCTCCCCCTTAGTGTAGACCTAGTATAAACTCAGAGCAATTCAAGAATGTCTTCTCTTCAGTACATCTAACAGCACCATATATCCCCTCTTGCTTTTATAGACCATGGTCAATGCTAAAACCTCAGCACTTGCCAACAGCTCCCATGCTGTTATTTTAGGTGCCAGAGTTCATGCTTTTCTTTGATTTGGAAATAACCACAGCAACCACATATATGGTAACTGTTTGCAAAAGTTCACTTTCTCATGGTGACCAGTGTTGTCTACATCTCAGATTGACCATGTCCTCTTAATTCAACACTAAACACTGCTGTCATGTTAGCAGCACTGCAAGCCTGCCCATATCTTCCATCCAGTCATTGTTATTGATCTTTTCCAAGATAAAAGATATGCAACTGATGCTTAGAAATTGATTAGCGATGGTAGGCCCTGTCTATTTGACACTTGTCCTACCATTCTGCTATTAATGCATCAGCAGGTGTGTCCCTTTAAATGCTGAGATAAACTTGTAGTAACTGGGCATTGATACAATCAGACCAATGAGTCTCCAGGCATTTTTGCGTTGCTAAGAGTCTAAAGCTGTATCTCTACTGTGTGTCTTTGTATCTAGAGAAGGTTAGAAGCCCATCCCTTTGCTTTTCAAACTGAATCTGAATCTTCCCTGGCTACTTCAGATATTTTCCTTTACACAAGATTTAAGCTACTCCCTTCTGTTCTGAAGAGAATGTAATATAGCTGGTGAGGTCTTTTGTACACAGTCATGTGACACTCTAGAGAATCTATGATATCCATTTCCTCCTATAATATTGATAATTGACGGTGAATTAATCTGTGCTTTTTTAGGAGATCACTACAATGTGTACTCAGATATATTCCTTTTGAAGTCATATCCATGGGACTATTTGCAAGGGTAACGACTATTCAGCATGGTTAAGGGCTGTAGAACTGGGTCTGGAGTGATTTATCAAGGGGTTGTGAGATGGCATGACAAAGAAGGTGAGGTCTGATCACCGTGAGGTAGTGATTAGCATTGCAGGGGCAAATCAAAGGCGGGATCTTCTTTTTCTGAAGTGAGAAGGGCCCGCTCCTACCTCCCTCCCCCTTGAATTAAATTCACCAAAGGATAGAAAACTGTAGGGAAGGGGTGGGGGATGAGACCTTGCCTATGTTCTTCTTGCCCAGGGGTGGGATTTCCACACAGTAATAAAAATGTCATGTAAATTGAACCAGTGCTATTAAACAAGGAATAACAGTCTTTCAGCCTGCCTGCAGAGTTGTGAATTGCATCTGATTATCAAAGGAGTTCTCAGTGAATTTCAGTTCTATTCCTTTGCCACAGCTGAGAAATATTGTCCACTATAAATCTTACTTTATAAATTACCCTATCAATTGCTAATATTTTTGTCCTCCCACGACACCATAAAACAGTTTACAAATCCCTTATAATGCTTGTCTTGGAAAATATATTTGTCTTTTTTTTTTCTCCCCACAAGAAGCGTCTCGGTTTTTAAAATGGAAATAATTTAATTCCTATTCAATGCATGAAAAGATGTGAATGGGGACATTTTAAATTGAAAGCCTCATTTTCCCTCACTGATTTATCTCGCTCTCTGCACTCTCGCCCACACAAGTCAATTAGCAGGTGCAAAATGCTCCAAGAATACGTGAAAGCTTCTATTCCACTACGAGAAGTAAGAAAGCAAAATTACTACTGCTATTTAGCTAGCATGTTAGGGTGTGTCCGCACTGCAGTCACAGGGTGTGAATGCAGCTCGCGTAGACATGCCTGAGCTAGCAGTAATCTAGCTAGCTCAGGACCCGGAGCAGTGAACCACGGCAGCGCACACTTCAGCGTAGGCTAGCCACTCAAGTCATTGGTTCCAGCCCAGGCAGGTTTGTACAGCTTACACTGAATCCCATGCTGCCTCAGTTTCACTGCTCCAAGACCCATTGCAGTAGACAAACCCTTGAGTGCTTTATAGACAAGTAAGAAGATGATGACCCTCCCCTGAAGAGCTTCCAATCTTAAAAGACAATATACAGGCAAAGAACGGGGAATGAGACGGGGAGTGATTAAGCAATGAAGCCCACCATACAACTTGTTAGTTCAATGGCTTCTGTTTGGAGGTGTCTACATATGTGTCCTTTCATCTACAATCTCTCTTTCTTGAGGGAAGAACGAGGGTTTTTGTGCCTGTTAGAAGTAGTGGCCCAGATCCTCGGCTATATATGAGAAGTGTACATCACAGGGCAGGAGTTCGCCTACAGATGCGGCTGTAGATCACATGTTGATTAATGAAGGCCCCGATCCTGCAAATAGAGTCACCTGTATGTACACTTATGTGTCTAAGAGAGGGACTGTAATGATCTGTACCTAAGTCATTGTATCTCAAGTTGCTGCATGGGAATTTGGATCCCTGGGTGAGTCAATGGCAAAACTCCCACTGACTTCAATGGGACTGGGGTTTCTCCCTGTGTATGTGGATCCCTTTGCAGGTTCAGGGCCTGAGTTTGTTAAAATTCTTCTGTACTTCCCAGAAAACATGGCTCTGTCTATTCACAGGATCAGTTACAAAATGCAGCCATTTAGAGATTGCACATCTTGTAATATTCTGTGTTTGTATGTGACATATTTAAAGGAATTTCTCATGAGCTCTGTTCTGTGGGTAAAAAGCAAATGAAAGGTCTAACCCCATTCGGAGCTTCCTGCAGTTTGCTGCCTTTACCCCAGCCCACCCCAATATTTAAGTGTCTCTTCTCATTTCCATGATTAGATCCCCTTCTACTGAGTTTATTTCTCTGCCATTTTAATTAGCAACAGGATAAGTGACAATGATTCTCAGTCCACATGCAAATCATTTTTTTTTAAGAGAGCTCTTTTTAGATGATTCTGCATTATTTAAGTGTAGGGTGAATGGCTGGGACTTTAATTTTAAATGGCTTTGGAATAATAGTTTATTTTATCATAATTTTGAACTATT